AGCGCCTCCTGCGGAGAAGACTAGCGGTCGGACTACTCGTTCAGCGGCGATGAAGGATCGAAATAACAACCCTGCCCCACTACCGCCTATCGCGACTGTGAAACCTGAAAAGGAGAAGTCCAAGTCCAAAAAACGAGTTAAGCAAGTTGCTGAGCCATTGGAGGAAGGCGTAGAAGGCGTCGGAGGCCAGGATTCTCGCCTAGTGGTGAGGAACGAGTCGTCTCATGTCACGAAGGTGGCGATGGGCACATCTGCGAAGGCATGATTCTCATCTCTCTCATATGAACCGCTGCTCTGTGCTCACCTCGTCCTTAGGATGATGTCGTCAAGAAAGTGCAAGCCGATAGAATCGAAACAATCTCGATCGTGGAGGATACAACTCGCGGTAGCACATCGGACAAGGTGGGTTGCTGTCACCTTGTCTTGTTGATTGGCTATCCTGATCTTTGTAGGCGGAGAAATGTAAACGAGATAAGAAGGCAGCATGGGAGTCGCCAGACTTCATGGACAAGGCGCAAGTACAACCGAAGACCTCATTGGAGTCGTCTGAGACTGTCTCAGGATCCAAACCCCAACCCTCAACCCCTCTTCCTGTCGAAGATGACTTCGACGAGCTTTACTTAGATGTTGCGGAAAGGGACTTTCTGAATCTCCCTACCTCTCCGACCAAGTTCGCAGCTGAAAATCGGCAGAGAATCGAGAAGGTGGATGGCTTCGCTGAAAATCCACTCGACGAATACGATCTCCGTGGACCGCCTATCGAAGTGACGGTAACCGTTCCTCGAATGGCGCCCCACTCAAGTGCTCATCCTTTTACTCCCTGACATACAGGCTGAAGCCACGGCGTTTACCAAGCCGTCGAAGATTCTAGAGACCAAACCCAAACCTGTAAGTCCTCGTCGTCTGAGATATGATCGTAGCTGATGTAATTTAGGTAATATCTTTCCTGCCTACCACCCGACCGTCCACGCCCCCGCGACAGCGCGATGTGGATATGATCGACCTCACGCAAGATTCACCCTTCAAGCCTGCTATCAAGAAACCTGTCCCGAAACCGAAGCGAAGCACTGTCACCTTTGACGCCGCGCCTCCTATGCCTCCTATGCCTGTCACTGCAATCATGAACCGAGCTGTACTAGACAAGTCACCTTTCCGAACATCGCTAGAGGGATCTCCCCCGATTAATCCTGGAAGGGCTCAGGATCTCTGTTCGGGATCTCCTTCCAATGATTTGACCTTAGTTTTTAGTCCGGCTTGCAAACCGAGTTCACCTTTGGTGTCGACAAAGATTGAGATTGGCAAACCTACTGTTTTGAGAATGAAGTCCCCCGGCGAGCAGCCGCATGTGAGGGTCACATTCGCTCCTATTGTAAAGGAGGAACCCACTTCGCCTTTTGGCTTGAAGAAAGGATACTTGTCGGCTGGGAAGCTACAGCAAAGTAGTATTGGTGCGTTCCATTATCGTGTTTTGGAGAGTACGAGCTTCATTCGGGTCCCGTCAGTTCCCATAGTGCAAAGGAAACAGAAACGGCGACAATTTATACGACACGAAGATATCGAAGATCAGGACGATGATCTCCTCGATAGACGAGCCACTCATGAGTCCAGGGATGCTAGTATCGAGGATTTGGCGGACGTGGGTGATTCTTCACATTCCAAGTCCACCACATGGCTGAAATTTCCACTCTGCTAGGTGTTGAATGAAATCAATGAAGTCCAGTGATGCGTTCCTCTCCCTCGATCATTCCTGACAGTATTTTAGGTTCTCTTGCGCAAAGTGACTAGGAAGGTAGAAGGCGCCAAGACAAACGTTCGAATGGCTCGGGACAGACTATTCGCGGATGCTGCAGCGGACTTACAAGCTATGCGAAACGAAAGGTACGTTCCCTTGTCCTCTTCACAACCATCATTGAAACATTTGCCCAGCATCGGTCACTTCAACCGCTTCGTCGATCTTGAATCCGAATACGCCGAATACGGTCGCAAATTCACAAACGAATACGAGGACCTTCTCAAAGTTAATCAAGAAATTTGTGGACAGCTCCGCCGGACGATACAGGATCATGATCGGAAAAGTTTGGTGAAGGCAATGCCGAAGACTTTATCTGCCCCTCTCCCCACAATTTGTCAAAGGTTACGCGCCCAAGGATACTGAGGCGTCTGGCACGTCGGAATATGGATGCGCCGCGATGCCTGAAGGATGAAGCTGGTGCCCTGGACTTGGTCGTAGTCTTTTGTTGCTCTTGTAGCATGCACTTGGCATGTATCTCCCGGAATGAAGAGTTAGCGTCGATTGAAAGCCAATTGTGTGCAGTCCCGAAGGATATTTTACTTCCCATTGGCCGCAGAGCAAGTCGGGGCCCCAGATTCTTTCCCCATGGTGCTCCGGACCAAAATGATGCGACTGGATGCGATGTCGCTAAAGCCGAGTCTCGCCGACGCATCAGAACCACGTGTAGAGTTCGGGTGTAGTGAAATGTCTGCCCGGTATATAAAGTCTTCCTTCCGTTGAAAATCCCAACCCCTCCATCGGCCCAGTCGACCTCGGACTCGCGCCCATAACCCACAGATGTTGTCGACAGCTGCTCGTGCTCGCCTCCCCTTGACCCGGCTGTCGGCCTCTGCTTCGCGCCTTCAAGTAGCCGCTATCTCTTCATCGGCCGTTCCGTCCCTATCCTCTCGATCTCCGTCACTTATCAGGTCACCAATTGCTGCTCGTCCTCTCAAAGCATCTATTTCTGCCTCCCGCGCCATGTCCGCCCACGCAGAGGACGTTACGCGCCCTGAGCCCGACCAGGTTCTCAAGGACATTGCTGACTACGTGCACAACTACAAAATCGAGAGCGACTTGGCCTATGAGACTGCCAGGCTTTGCTTGATTGACACCATTGGGTGTGGGTTGGAGGGATTGAGGTTCCCCGAGTGCCGATCTATCTTGGGACCCGTTGTCCCTGGAACTATCGTGCCTAATGGTACGTTCGTGTGGCTGTCGTTGTTGAGCGCGAAACTAAGCTCATTGGCTTTCAGGCACCAAGGTTCCCGGAACTGACTACCAACTCGACCCCATTCGCGGAGCTTTCAACATTGGTACCATCATCCGGTGGCTCGACTTCAATGACTGCTGGCTCGCCGCAGAGTGTGAGTTCCCCCATTGCCTTGGTCGGTGTCGAAATTGAATTGGGCTACTCTAGGGGGTCATCCTTCCGACAATCTTGGCGCTATCCTCGCCGTTGCTGATCATCTCGCCCGCCAGGGTCAGAAGGTCACCGTCAAGGACATCTTGGAGGGCATGATCAAGGCACACGAGATCCAGGGCGGTCTTGCTCTTCTCAACTCCTTCAACCGAGTTGGTCTCGATCACGTCGTCCTCGTCAAGGTTGCCAGCACTGCTGTCGTCTCCAAGATGCTGTGTGTCCCAGTTCACTTCCTGAAGAGTAGAACCTAACCTAAATAATCATCCTTTCCTAAAGCGGCCTTTCTCAGGAGCAAACAATCGACGCCGTTTCGCAAGCGTTCGTTGACGGTCAATCACTCCGTACTTACCGACATGCTCCCAACACCGGACCTCGCAAGTCATGGGCCGCTGGTGATGCTTGTTCGCGAGCTGTCAACCTTGCCCTCCTGGTCAAACAGGGTCAAGTTGGTATTCCCACTGTCTTGACTGCCAAGACCTGGGGCTTCTACGATGTCTTGTTCAAGGTTTGTTTTTGCGTCCCAGGACGCAGAGAGGTGCTGACATAATCGCGTTTTCAGGGCAAACCTTTCGAGTTCCAGATCCCCTATGGCTCGTACATCATGGAGAACGTCCTCTTCAAGATCTCCTACCCTGCTGAGTTCCACGCCCAAACCGCCGTCGAGGCTTCCATCATTATCCACAACAAGCTGAAGGCTTTGGGCAAGACCAGTGATGACATCGCCAGCGTCCGCATCAGGACTCAGGAGGCCGCCATGAGGATCATCAACAAGAAGGGCAAATTGGCCAACTTTGCTGACAGAGAGTGAGTTGCTTCCGTCAGCTCTATTCCGCTCCATTTCTCAAGGGCCAATCTGGACATGTATAGCCACGACATCAACTACATGAGCGCGTACGGTATGATCTACGGTAATCTCCACTCCGAGTCCTACACGGACAAGGCTGCTGAGGATCCCCGTATCGATGAGCTCCGTGCCAAGATCACTTGCGAGGAGGATCAACGATTCAGCGTCGAGTACCATGCACCTGATAAGCGATCAATCGGAAACGCCATCACCGTCACCCTCAAGGATGGTACAGTCCTCGAGGAGGTCGAGGTTGAATACCCCGTTGGACACAAGAGGAGACGTGCTGAGGGTACACCCTTGTTGATGGAGAAGTTCGAGAGGCACATTGGCCACCACTTTGACGCTGCTCACCAGAAGAAGTGCGTTTTGCTCCTTTGATGGCAGGATCCCGTGACTAACTTCCCCCTTTCAGGATCCTCGACACCGTCACTGATGCCAAGTCGTTCAGCGAGCTCCCTGCTGACAAGTTCACCGATCTCTTCGTCAAGGCATGAGGGTCTTGTGTGGTAGATGAGGTTCCGCGTCGTAGTGTATACTAGTAGTGTAGGGCTAAAATATGCAAGTCCTTGCGGTTTGCAGTCCGCGGGGGGAGGTCTTGTGTAGATGTTTCATAGATTGCGACAATACACAGTTGTCGTTCTTGTGTGCTGGACACAGTTATGTTGGATGTGCACCCTTGTACGCCGGATAAACGGTTCAGAGAAACCAATCTCCCCGAGTCTTGTCATTCAAGTTGAAGCTTGCTGGGTACCGGATGAGAATAATCGTTTCCCCCGTTGTCCAGCAGTAGTGTTGTCCTTGTCTCGGAAGCCTAGATAGAGTCTACGCATTCGCATCGTAGGTCGTACCAATGAAAAAGACCATGCAGTGAATCAGGTTGGACGCGCCGCATAGTTCCCCCTCCCCGTCCACCCCCTCCGTCATCAAAACTCGTCAAAACTAGAAAAGAAAACATTACTAGCCCACCGCGAGGGTCGAACTCGCAGCCTTCAGATGGCGGAAACATGGGAGTAGAAACCCCCATAATTCTTAAAAGTCTGACGCTCTAGCCAATTGAGCTAGGCGGGCATGTTTTAGATGCCGAGAGAGATTATATTGTAGTGTGAGTGATGGAGAGAAGTTCACCCAAAGGGTTAAAATCATCCAAATATCATTGAAAGGACCAAGGAATGAATGACTAGCGCTTAACAGTCCAGCCGTCCGAGTTTGATCTGAGTCAGTGAGGAGGCAGGCTGTGGCTGCAACTGCAAAAGCAACGCATGTACTTATTTTTCAAACCTGTCCTATTATTGCATTCTTCTTATTAAATATAATACTTAAGTTACTTAAACTTATTTAAGCGCCCATTTTATTATTAAATAGGTAGATAAATAAACAAAATAAGCATAAAAATTTGGGGCTTACTCAAATGTATACGTATATTTAATTGGATTGAAATGGACAACCGAGTCAGTATTCCCGCGCTCAACCTCCCAGTTCGGTTGCACCAACCTGAAGTCCCAAGACGTCCACCGGATTTCGGACTATCGCCAACAGTATGGCATCTGCATCTGGTGAGTTCCAATTGCCAAGATCCATGCAACGTTGACTGACTAACAATCCAGCAACCGGAAAGTTATCTCGTGAAGAGTTCCGTCGACAAAAGGAACTTGACGCTGCACGTAAAGCTGGTACAGCCCCAGCTGCACTTGACGAAGAGGGAAAACCTATCAATCCTCACATTCCTCGTGCGTACTTGTCCACCTCCTCATCAGATCAAATCATCTTATTCATCCCATCACACAGAATACATCGCCCAAGCACCATGGTACCTCGATACTGGAGCCCCGACCCTTGCTCATCAGCGTCGCCCCGACGAACAACCTGCTGCTGCTCTCAACAACTGGTACGACCGAGGGGCGAAAGCCGGCCCCGCAGCCAAGAAATACCGCAAAGGCGCTTGCGAGAACTGTGGTGCCATGTCACACAAAAAGCAAGACTGTCTAGAACGACCTCGCAAAAAGGGTGCAAAGTATACGAATAGAGATATACAGGCGGACGAGGTAATTCAAGAAGTCTCTGCTGGGTATGATGCCAAACGCGATCGGTGGAATGGATATGACTCTGCAGAGTATAAGCAGATTTATGACGAGTATACCGCGTTGGAAGCTGCGCGGCAGAAGCTACGAGAGGAGGAGATTGACAAGCAGACCACAACCGATTTCGCCGCTGTGAGGAAGGTGGCGAAAGCTGGGAAGGGTGAGGGGAAGGCTGGAGGTGATGACGATTTTGGGTCAAGTGACGAGGATGAGGAGGATGAGGAAAAGTACGCGGATGCAGCTGATGCTGTGGGTCAGAAGGTGGATACCAAGACGAGGATTACGGTTAGGAATCTCAGGATTAGGGAGGATACGGCCAAGTATTTGCTGAGTTTGGACCCGGAGAGTGCGTATTATGATCCCAAGACGAGGTCTATGCGAGACGCTCCTGTGAAAACTGGCAATCCCGAAGATGTACGTTCGTCAAGCTCTCCTTTCCGCTGACACTAGCTAACCAGTTCCACAGCTCAAATTCGCCGGTGAGAACTTCCTACGTCACTCGGGTGAAGCACCCGACGTTCAAAACCTCCAACTCTTCGCATGGCAATCACAGTCTCACGGGGGCGACGTTCATCTCAATGCCAACCCCACTGCTGGCGAACTCCTTCATCGAGAGTACCAAACCAAAAAGGAAGAGCTTAAGGGTTCGACAAAGACTGGTATCTTGGCCAAGTATGGAGGAGAGGAGTATTTGGGTGGAGCACCGAAGGAGCTGCTGAGAGGGCAGACGGAGGAGTACGTAGAGTATTCGAGAGAGGGCAAGGTCGTGAAGGGGAAGGAGAGGGTAAAGGTCAGGAGCAAGTATGCTGAGGATGGTGAGTCGTTGCCTAGTCTCACTCTCTTGCAGTCTTCTGACCTTTTGATTTAGTTTGGATTAACAATCACACCGCCGTTTGGGGTTCTTGGTTCGACGCTGCAACTGGCTTATGGGGCTATGCCTGCTGTCATTCCACTATACACGTTTCGTACTGTAGTGGAGAGGCTGGTATCGAAGCCGCCTTGGCCTCGAGTGCCCAACACCTTCTCGCATCTGCCTCTACTTTTGCCTCTTCCTCAACGCCTTCCTCATCCGCGACGGCTTCGACATCAAAACCCTTCGTTGATCCATATGGCGAGCCAGCAGAGTCAAAAGAAAAGGGAGACGACAGGAAGAAGAGAGCTGATAGGTTATTCTCGAAGGAGAGGTTGGGTGAGGGTGAGGTCAAGTTGGATGAGAGTAGGTTGGCAAAGGCGATTAGTGAGGAGAGGAAAAGGAAGATGATGAGAGGGGAGGATGATGGGGATGAAGACGAGGGCAGGGGAGGAAAGAAGAAAAAGGCTGGGGGAACCTACGAGGTTACGGAGGAGGAGTTGGAGGCATATAGGATGACGAGAAGGATGACCGAGGATCCGATGGCGAACTATGTGGACACGGACGTATAGGGTCTCCTTCGTTGGGAAAGCTTGGGTCGGGTTGTTTGGTGCACTCATTCGCTGTGATTTTCTGCATTGTATTCGTAGTATTGTTTTGATAATTCGCCTCGTTGCTGTCGTGCGCTCGGTTCCCAAACGATTGTTCTTGGGGAGGAATAATAAGAGAGGTGAGGTAGCCACGTGGCGACGGCTCAAAAGTTGCGCACACGATTCAGATTGACGCCAACGAACCTGCGATACCTCTCCCCCATCCTTGCCTGATGTTTTTATGAAAGATTGTACTCTATTATGACCTGGACTGTCGCACCTCCTCTGTTTCTCGGCCTCTCAGCCCGAATTCTCCTCGAACTGCTCTTTTCCCCAGCAGTTGAATCCATTCCAGCTCTCGGCGACTATCTATTCAACGGAGTATGGCAAGGAGTTGGCTTCTACTTCATCCTCACTGAATTCGCTCAGTTGGCTGCACCGGTTGCGCTCGCTATCGTGGGGAAATTATTTTGGGATTTGAGAGAGGGTGATGTGAGCCGGGTAGTTCTCACATTTTTGGGCGTTGGGTTGGGAGTACTTGGGACGGATGTGTTGGCACAAGTTGTTGAGGATGGTGGTAAGGGGAGTGGGAGAAAGATGAGGATTGTTCCCATGGGTGATGTGGGGGCTTCCTCAAGTAAGAGGGAGAAGGAGAGTCGGAGTCATCGAGACAGGGAAAGGGAACGGGAAAAGCAGAAGAGAGAACGCAAGATCTCGATAACTGCACCTCCCTCCATCTCGCTGGAATCAAGTTTATCCACTTTGGACCCTCATGGTGTGATGACACCACTGGAACGAGAGGTCGCAGAACTACGGGCGAGGGCTTCGTTGGCCGACAGTGAGAGGAGGAGGTTCAAGGAGGAGAGGAAGTGGGCAATCAGTATGGGGAATAAAGCCAGGGCTGAGCAGATGGGTTGGCAGGTGCGGAGGTATGCTGCGCTGCAAGAGAGTTTCAATAAGGAGGCAGACAAGAAGTTGATTGAGGGTATGTCTTGCAACTGGCTTGCTACTTTTGTCAAAACATGCGTTCAACTATTGATTCTTTCACAGCTGCATCACGGCGTCCCCGGAAAGTCAGTCGTAGCAGTGCTCCTCCAGAGGCGAGACGGGCGAGCGGCACTGAAGGACCTTCAACTCGACCAAATGCAGTCCCCGGTCCCAGTCGAGAAAATGGTTTCGCTGGCCCCAGTCGCGCCTACGCAGTTCCTGGTTCCAGTCGAGAGAACGGCGTCCCAGGAACCAGTCGAACGTATGCAGTTCCTGGTCCAAGTCGGAGTAAAGGAGTTAATGATCCCTCGTCGAATCACGCCAGCGGAGTCCCCCCGTACCGTGTGCCCTCTCCCGATCGCGACGTAACCGTCACTATCGGCACCGCCACGCGACCGCGTCGCACCTCTGGACCTTCAAGGCCTGGAGTACGTGTTGAAGTGCGAAAGTGAGTACCAGGCAAGATGCTTTCGCTGCAGTGGCATTTTACTCAACATAGGCCCGACGGCAGATCTGGTCAACGTTAATTCAAGTTTGACCCTGGTCTCCTTTCTGGCCAACTTCGCCTCGTGCAGGGCCCTGAGATTAGAGGAGGGTCATGCTTGTAATTGTACGGAGATCCTCCGGTGGGCTTTTCGCAGCTGTCGAGAAATCCTTCGGCCAAGCAATCAGAATTTCCGTTCCGCGTACCGCATTATCCCCTCGTCCCGCGAACACTCGCTCTTACCAGCAAGGAGGTACCACCATGCGACAAGATTGCGGCTTTCTTTACGGTTGAAGCTCAGCCTCGAGGTACAGTTTGTATACCGTTTGAATTGGGCATTACGGGAGGACTCGATTGTGGAAGAGAGTTTTCCCTAACGACTTGTATTGTGTAGAGTATCGGTGCCGCAGAGTCACACGTTGAAGCTTATTCCTTCCCCCCAATCATTCTTGTGATCTTGGAAATGTTTGGGTGCGCAAGCTTGCTTCTCCGGGATGCTAGCCGATCAGATGAAGTGTTGCCGTTCACTACCGTCGAGGAAGATGACGGGCCTTAGGTGCGAGCCTTCAGTTAGTCCGGTCAAGTATTCCGTTGAGCTCATGATGGATGTTATCCAGACTCTACTTGCATGCATGCTGCATGGTCTGCCTCGACTTTTACGATACATTCGATCCGACATCCGTTCATTTGGAGGACCAAGTCTGGAAGACATAGCAGATGCGAAAAGGTGGTGACGGTCCGTGTTGTCACTTCTACCGATCGACTGCGATGAACGATGCAACACAGGGCATCCTCTGGGCCCTCCGATTCTGAACCCCAAAGCCCAAGTTGGAGTAGCCCTTCGGCTGATGTTTCGATGATAACGGACCGTCAGTAACTCCACCTTTCCTCGTCCCGCGCTCTTCTTCGCGAAGGCATCCCGTAACGTCTTTGTCCTTCTACGTCACCTTGAATCCACTGAACTCACACTCCACGTGACTCGAGACGCGTACCTCCACACCGAATTATCCCCGACATTCACTATTTACGTGGGTTACGTAGCGACGTCCGCCTATGAGGTGCAAAAGAGTCAGCCTCGT